TCCCCCGGAGCATCCCGCAGGCTGCTCACCACGCGCAGCCCGGGCTACCCGCCAGGTGAGTGCTGGGAACTCCGGGTGCCGGGACCTGAGACGGCGACCCTGACGCCCCGGCGCTGACCTCTCCCCGCCCCGCAGGAGGCCCCTCACCGTCGACGACTTCGACATTGGGTGTCCTCTGGGCAAGGGGAAGTTCGGGAGTGTGTACCTGGCCCGGCTCAGGGAAAGCCATTTCATCGTGGCCCTGAAGGTCCTCTTCAAGTCCCAGATAGAGAAGGAGGGAGTGGAGCACCAGCTGCGCAGGGAAGTGGAGATCCAGGCGCATCTGCAGTAAGCCGGGCTCAGCCTTCCCGCCGCCCCAGGCAGGGCCCCAGGCAGGTCTCGCCCGAAGGTGTGCGGACCCCCCACCCCCGGGCAAGGCCCGGCCAGGCAGCCCCGTCCCGTCTGTTCCCAGTTGGTCCCTCGCTTCCACTCTGTCCCGGCACAGTTTGCCACTTGTCTGACCAGGCATTGGCAGCGTTGTGTGTCGCGCTCGGGAGGAGTCTGATGCTCTCCCCACTCCTCCTTCAGTCACCCCAATATCTTGCGCCTCTACAACTACTTCCATGACGCCCGCCGGGTTTACCTGATCCTGGAATACGCTCCGCGGGGTGAGCTCTACAAGGAGCTGCTCAGAAGCCACACCTTGGACGAGCAGCGCACAGCCACGGTGAGGAGCCGCGGGTTTCCGTGGGCTGCGGCTCTCTGTGGTTCCAGATTGCTGTTTGCAAAGCTTATCCCTGGAGCCAGGCGTGGTGGCGCACACCTGTGATCTAGCTCAGCTCTTGGGAGGCTGAGGCAGGAGGATTGCAGCGAGTTGGAGGCCAGCCTGAAGTACAGAGTGAGACCTTGTCTCAGAACAACAAAATGTTTATCTCTGAATTTTAAAAATGAGCTTTATATGACACCTTCATCTTCAGATTCATTCCTTGACTATTGTCGTATGTATAAATTTGGATTCTTTAGCTGTAAGCAATAGAATCTAAGTCAACTTATGCACAAAGCAAAAACAATACATATTGAAAGACTAGAATGAGTTTACTGAGGAAATGGGTTGAACTGGCTCAGAGAAAGGTAACTGGAGATTTCCAGAGGACACCAGAGAAGGAAGCACAGCAGTGGTCATCTCCCTGGCAGTGGTGGGGCAGGCTTGCTGTGGGGATGAGTGGATATTCCTCAAACACTGAAACCAGAAGTGCCACTCGGCCCTGCTGTTTCCCTTCCAGGTGTCTTCCTGAAAGAGTTAGTCATTACATTACAGTAAAACAGGTATACCCAGGGCCAGAGATTTAGCTCAGTGGCACCGCCACCTGCCTCTAAAGCGCAGGGTCCCAAGTTCGATCCCTGATACCAAAAAAAAAAAAAAAAAAAA